GTAATATTTCATATTTTGGTTTTATTTAGATTTTTAATTATTTAGTAATAATAATAGTTATCAATAAAAAATATTATTAAAATTATTATTATATAAATAAAATAGAAAGTTTTTCAATTAATTTTTAATTTAATTACATTTTTCCTCAATTGTTTAAATTTAAAAAGTATTATTATTATTAATGATTTATTAATATTACTATTATATTTTTCTTAAATACTTGTTTTGTTTTTACAGTGAAATATTACAGTCGTAGTATTTTTTTTATAATTTTTTTGGGTATTTTGTATTTATATTCAGTAGTAGTAACAATGACTGTTATCATTATTATTATTTTATATCCATATTGATATAAAATCAAAAAATTTTGGTCAAATTATGCAGTCCTACAAACAAGCACAGCAAACCTGGAGCTTTTGGTTCAAATCATTTTGATCAGAAATGGTGCAGCCGTACCTTATCGGCACACATGGCCACAGTGATGTCCTGCTGCGAGATCTCATAGTGACGAATGTTTCTCACGTAGTTTCCCGCCAGCTTCAGTATATCTGCAGAGATGTACTCCAGCACCGCCACGATGTACACCGACACCTGATGATCGATCTTATAACCCAGAACCTCCTGCAGGAGAGACAGAGCGTCAGTGTGGCTTCATTCACTCACAATCACAGGGATGTCAGTGAAGCACACGACAGACTGAAGTGATGATCATGAGCGCCCTCATCTGGACATCCACGGTACTGCAGAAAACCACTCTACTACAGTCAGCCCATTATATTTGGACACTGACACAATTTCATCATTTTGGCTCTGTATGCCACCAGAACAGAATTAAAATGAAACAATCAAGATGAAATCTGAAAATATTGTTAAATCAAATAAATAAATTAAATTCTTACTATCCTTATCAAAAACAAAAAATAAAGTAATGCATTATAAATTATAATGATATATTTCATAAAAATGATGAATTCAATTATTACTTTTATTATTTTAAAATTCAAAACAATTATTACTAGTACTTCTGTACAGCAGAAAACCACTCTACTACAGTCAGCCCATTATATTTGGACACTGACACAATTTCATCATTTTGGCTCTGTATGCCACCAGAACAGAATTAAAATGAAACAATCAAGATGAAATCTGAAAATATTGTTAAATCAAATAAATAAATTAAATTCTTACTATCCTTATCAAAAACAAAAAATAAAGTAATGCATTATAAATTATAATGATATATTTAATAAAAATGATGAATTCAATTATTACTATTATTATTTTTAAATTAATTAAAAATAAAAATAAAACAATGCATTATAAGTTAATGATATTATTTACTAAAAAATGATTAATTAAATTATTACTATTATTATTTTAAAATTAAAAACAATTATAAAGCGGATAGTTCCGGTGCTTGATTCTGATTGGCTGAGTTTGAAGCTGTTGTAAATGACTCTACAAAGTAACATACACCTTTGTTTACGTTTGTGTGTTGGGTGGATCTTGTCGACAGGCAGCGCTAGCGGGTTCCTCCTCTTCCTCTTCTCGATCGCGGCCTGAGCGTCGGCGATGGCCCATTTCTCGATGGGGTGCGGGAAACTCCTCTGCACTCGCTCCTGAAGAACACAGCACACGTGAGGAACACAGACCACAGATCAGAGACGGTCTTCAACACAACACAACCACAGACAGATGAAGATGAAGATGATGAAGATGAGACTCAGGGCTAGAGCTGGGCGATAAATCCATAATGACGCTGACGCCGGTCACGATAACAACGTTTTGTTGTGCGATGCATCGCCCCAGAAGTAACTGCGATAAGCGATTTTATTGGCATTTTATGCCACTGAATATATAATCATAATGTAACAGCATAATAATGCAAGAAGGCCTACACACTTCCAAATGACAACAAACTTTTAATTCCTAAGAATATTTAGGTCAAAATATCAGATACCTTAAAAAGCTTGAATAAATATTAGTGCTGATTAATCGCATACGAAATAAGTTTTTTTGTTTGTTTACATAATATATGAGTGTGTACTGTGTATATTTATTATGTATATATAAATATACACACATGCATGTATATATTTCAGAAAAATGTTGTTTATATATATTAAAATTATTTTTATATATACAGCGGCGTCTGCGAGCTTTAGCAAACACAGCAGCAGTTAGTCGACATCAACAGCTCAAACTGCTGAGAGACACATTCAGATCAGTCACACACTTTAAGATGCGTCCAATCCCATGATGCTCAGCGTCACGTCAGGACCATAGACTGTATAAAAACATGGACGTAGTGTCCGTGACGTCACCCGTAGACTTCCGACGAGCGTTTTGAAGCCTAAAGTAGGCGGAGCCAGCCGTCGCCATCTTGGCAGCGCGTCAAAGAGACACACACATCAGCACAGAACCATGAGAGAGAAAATACCTTCAAAATAAGAAAAGAAAGAACTTACAAAAAATTAATTAAATCATTAAAATATAATAAACAATTGTAAAATAAAAAACAAAGCAGCTAGTAAAAATTAAACAATAAAAATGGAAAATTAAAATAAATAAATATGACACCAAGACAAAAAAATAAATCTAATAAAAAAATGACAAAAACGCACAAGTACTAAAACTTCAATAAAAATTTAAATAAAAATGGAAAATATTTATAAAAAAAGATTTTAAAATATTTATAAAAACTTTAATAGAAACCTAAAGACAAAAAAACAAATAAAACAACTAAAAACGGAAGAAAAAAAACACAACAAAATGACTAAAACTTTAATTAAAACTAAAATGAAAACAGAAAATATTGGGGGAAAAAACAAAAACAAACTACAAAAATTTATGAAAACTACAATATTATCTCAAAGATACTAAAATAAACTAGTGAGAACGTCTCAAATCAGACGAGTGTCTTTATTCTCCCTCCCACCTGAGCCTTTGTGTGTGTGTGTGTGTG